TATGTGAAAATAAAAGCAACATTGATGCTGTTATGTTAATTAAGGTCATGGCACTTATTATATGTATGTAGGTAGTCTTGCAATTTGTGTGTTTTGTTTTATTATAATGCCACAGTAGCACCGCCTTTTTCTGATCTACGCGCTATTCAAATATTTACATAAGTATGTATGTATGTAGTACATGTCTATATGTATGCAGGTACATACATACATATGCCCATACGTACATGAAATGTGTGCTAGCATGCGCTCCCAAAAAATGGCCGCGCCCAAGCAAGTTCATACTTCAGCTGCGCCTCCAGCATTTATCACACCACAAAGCTTTGGTCATAAACTATCAGCTTTTATATGTACATAAAATAAGATATCAAACCTGCGCGCAGCAACAACCATAACAAAACAACCAAAAAAAAAAACTACATAACCTTTTCTCTGTAATCTCGCTTTTGACGTCCCGTGATTATGTAATCGCTTTCGCATGCCCTGCCTAACAGCGGGCGGGTGTGTGTGTGTGCATGTGTGAATATTAAGAATTTTGCTGATAAGCTTCTTGTACTTGCCAGCTGGTTAGCGAATAGTCACCGTGTAGCTCGCTCCATATTCGTTCCTTGTAAGCCGCGGCCTTCCAACCGGTGGTGGTGAGTGTTGTCGTCGAGTTTCTCTCAATCGTTTGAAGAAGTGTCTTTGAAGAGTTGAAGAAAACTGAAATTCGATTTGGTCAATGCACATACATACATACATACCTATGTACATATGTATGTACATTGTATATACTTAACAAATTTTTGACATCAAAAGTGAACTATAACAAGGGAAGGGGCGGACGGCGTTGCTGTTAATTTTGAAACGCTTTTTACATTTAATATTTTTAGCCACCGTGTGGATCGGTGGAAATAAAATGCAATAAATTACATACTAAAAATGATAATCGATTTCTTTGACATTTTTAATTACATACATGATATTTTCACAAATACTTAGTTCGAAATGTACAGTAAAAAGCTTCTTTCTCAGCTGACGTGCCTTTTCCAATTATATGCGGATTTAGTTGTTCACAACAAGTTTTTTAGAATAAAAATGAATGCGGCCTAATAATTTCAGTTGTGCGCCATACTACATTCGCACAGTTATTTTTCCTTGCGTACCTACACAGTCTTTGAAGTTCCAAAATACCGAGAAATACTGCGCCTCATTGGCCTTCAAATAATTGTGATGGCGCTGTGGTAATGATCCTTTTGCACTTCAAGGCTAAGTCAGTTGCTACTGCTGTCTGTCGAAAGTAAATAAGTATGACTGGCGGGGTGGCTTATTTGTGTTTTTAGTCTTACAAATTCTCCGGCTACCTACCGGCTATGCTGTGTCACCCACCGCCCGCAACGCTTACTAAGCGCAAACTTGGCAAATTTGCTGCGGCGTAATTTATTCCGCTGCGCTCGGGATTTCTGTGCTTTGAAGCTTTGTAGGATAAGCGAACTGGTCTGAAAGAGTTACAAGTCTTATTTTCGAAACAAAATATTCTCATCCCGAATGCTCTTCATATACATACATACATAATTTGCCATCTTCCAAATTCTAATCTACTACATATTTTCATTTATCATTGCAGATAGTCACACTGTGAGCGGCGCATTCAGTTTTAGAAACCCTGCGTTGTAATCTCTCTTGGCGGTTTGATAGGAAAACCCAGCTTCAGTTTTTTTCTTTAAGCTCAGCGTAAGCAGCAAGCAAAACAAAACACATCAAAATGTCTACAGTCGACAAAGAGGAATTGGTCCAAAAGGCAAAGTTGGCCGAACAATCTGAAAGGTGAATTATTCTAGCCATAACATAAATAAGTAAATGGTGTATTTTATTAACAATGATTTTTTATATATATTTTCAGATACGATGATATGGCTCAGGCTATGAAATCAGTCACAGAAACCGGTGTTGAACTGTCAAATGAGGAAAGAAATTTACTCTCCGTTGCATACAAAAATGTTGTTGGTGCCCGCCGGTACGTCTCTTTCTTATTTACTTAGCTTTTATGATTTGATAACTGAAAGATATGTACATATATGTATGGGAACAGAATTGTGAGTGCGCGCGGTCTGCTTTATAGATTGCTTGTGAATTTTAGCGAATAGAATTAATTAATTAAATAGATATAACGGCTGTAACATGAATTCGTATTTTTAAAACTCCGAGCAATATTTTAGAAGTCTAAGTTTTTAAGTGTAAAGCCATTTGGTATTAATGCTAAGAGAATTGCAGTTTCGCAAACATGTTTTACGAATGTCATACTCCTAGTTTTGTAGAATAGCTAAAATGTGGCTTATAATATAGTTAAGAGTTTAGTAATAAGATAGTAAGATACTATATATGTATAAAATTTGGCTAGTTTTTACAGTATCAAATACTTTTTTATATTAATGTACGAATTTCTCAATTTCTTCTCAGATCATCGTGGAGAGTAATTTCATCAATCGAGCAAAAAACTGAATCCTCCGCCAGAAAACAACAGCTCGCCCGCGAGTACAGAGAACGCGTGGAGAAGGAACTTAGGGAAATTTGTTACGAAGTTTTGGTAAGTTTTTTTCCGTGTGTATTTTTTAGATGCTGTTTTCATGTTTCAGTCATAAATAATTAGTAGTACTGATTAAAGCACAACGAAAATATATTTCCACACTAATCCATTCGCCCGGTGCTGAAGTACATACTTTGTTTTTGTAGAGTTTCAGAACAATTTAAATGTGATATTATACATATATGCACATATGTATATGCTTGATAAAGGACAGAACCTAATTCCTTAATAGCGTGCAACCAAAGAGCGAAATAAACCACACGGACGGCTTTCTTAACTTTTGTTTATTTCCCCATGCACTATACAAGCAAGTATTTTTCGTTTTTTTCCGGCTGATGAAGGGTGCAGATAGCGATTTTGTCGCTTAAATTTTGCTCATCTTCGATACGTGTCAGTGAAAATTATGTTTTTTTTTTGCATTTTTTGTGCTCAGGAGTTTTTAATACATGCAATTT